ATTAACAGTTAATGAATGAGGCTGAGTATCTTATGAAGAATTATGGAGATCGAGGAGGGTGTTATCCGTCGAGGCCGTAGGCCGAGGCGGATAACACCCTCCGAGATCTCCATAATTCTTCATATGATACGAAAGCCGAATTCAATAACTGTTTTATTATTCATTCAAAATATTTCCTAGTTTAAAAACATAGCTAAAAACATGCTTACCTCCATCGATCCATCGATGTTCAGTTCATCTTCGATACTGTACGTTTAGGTTTGTCCAGCTCCGCAAATATTCTCCAGATAGCAGATGTCGCCCTTCGAGTTGTCTTCTTGCTGTTCTTTCCATGTTTGTAGCCATGTTTTCGCCTAGTTCTTACTCTTGAAACGAGTGAAATGTCCGCCATTTTTTCAAGTTCCCAACCAAAACAACTCAACCTCGTCCCCAGGTCTTCTCGGTTAACGGTGCCTTAACCTGCGAAAAGCTGCATTTTTGACGTCATTTCCTCGTTAAAGTCAAATTTCTTCCAAATTTGGTCAACAGTAACTGGTTATGGTGAATTAAACGTGTGCTTTTAGCCAATCAGATTCGGTGAAATATTTTGAATGAATAATAATTAAGGTTATAGTTGTGTGGGGCATCTAAAAATAACCAGTTGACGTCCGGAATTTAAAATTTAAGGGGTATGATGACCATGAGCGAAATATTCGGGAGACTAGGCCGAGGGCTGTAGAGAGTAAACCTTTTGTCACACGGCAGAGAACATTTGGGGGAAAGTAATGTTCTACCTGACAATTTTTTTCCTATGACCAAAGGAGCGACATGACGCCATCAGTCACGTGATCAAAGCGTTTTGAATGTTTTAGTTTGTTTTTAAAGTACTTTTTTTGTCTAAATTAGTAGCCGCGCGATTGATAGTTCATAAATTTCTTAAACGTTCCCCGGCATGGGCCAAACCCCTGAAAGAGTATTAATGGGTTCATTGTGAGCTTTTCGTCTAGCTTCGATCAGTGTAAAATTTAATTCTACAAGGAAATCCCGAAAAAGTTAACCTTGAAAACTGTCCGTCACCATAGAGAAGGAATAAATACCTCTTTTAAACTCGAAAGATTAGCGTTTACCGAGGTGGTCAAGTGGATGGAGGCGTTAACTTCTAGTTCTAGCTGCTGCTGCAGGTCCGGGCTCGAATCCCCTTGGAGCAAGTTTTATTATTAATTTTATTATTTTTCTTTTTTGAAAATCTCGTTTTTACTCTCTTTTTTACCTGTGTGGTGCATAATGTGATAAATTGAAAGCAAACTTTACAGGAATATAAAAAATGCGGTATGAATCATAGCGTATCTACCGGTATTTTTAGCAATAGAACTTGTCACGGTTTTCGACGCCATCTCGACTCGTAGTTGTGGGCGAGACTCGAAAAGTTACTGAAAAAGCTGCAGTTTTAAAATTATTAAAATGTATATAAGGATAGTTTATACTGAAATAAAGTCTTTGGATTAAAAAAGAATGCAACTTATTAATATCAAATTGTTTCATTATAATTGGAATGACAACCTATTATTGATAACGAGAGGAATTTCCGGTTTTTACTATCAAATCGTTCAATAGATAAAGTCCAGAATCTGGGAAATGAAAGAAGGTAAATATACAAAGACCCTAACCATGTTTCAGGTTAGTACAATTTTTTACACGCGAGATATTCGGAGAAATGTTGTACCTAAATTTATAGAACTTTGTATGGAGACGCCATGTTGGTTCTCCTTACAGGCACACTAACATGGTGGCCGGAACCAACAGAAACAACTGCATTCGAGTTTTGCAACGAAAGCGTGAATTCACCTCTCAAGGAACTCATGAACAAGTAATACTCTTCCTAATACAAGGACTGTTCATAGCAAAATACTCCAATTGAAACTAAATAAATAAGTCACTTTTTTAACCTACATGAAGGCTCTCTCGGCCGCCACGTAAGGCCGTGTCACGCAAAATGTTAGAAATTAACGCGTACTCTATCCAAAAATGAAGAAACCTTTCGGTGTGAACTTGTAAAAATAAAAGTTTTTAGCTGCTCTAACACTTCATGAACGTAAAAACTCAGGAGGATGGATAATTCTTTACTTTTGAAATTTGTGACCTCGTGTGAAAGCCAAGAGTAAATGTCAACTGGCGAATCAGTATCAAACGATTACACTTTATTTTCTCAGTTTAAAGATTAAGATCTCCTAACGTCTTTGAGACGCACTGAAAATCTAACTCTCTGCTAAGATATAATATATATTTGCCAATTTGCTACTGTACGAAGTTACATAATTTTCGGCTTAATCGAGTTCAAAATATTGAAATATAGTATTTATTGTTTATCCCCTCTAAAAACGGTCTTCTATAGGTAGCATACATTTTAATCCAGTCCATATAAGTATTTTTCTCCTAAGCCCCGTTACACATTTGACATTGGCAAGAAACAGCGCTAAAAATTTGTTTAACGCTGCCGTCGTTACAGGAGACTGTCTTGTAGGTAGATGTTTCGCTTTTGCAACAAGCGCACGTGGTCCTGTACCAAGGTTTGGTCATTATAATCCTACTCCACGATCGGCATGTTCCTCGGCATTTGTTGACCTTGACTTCTTGATTGTCGCAAACTCGAACTGATTCTTGTTCCAGTTCACACGTCACACCCATGTCCTCAAAAATGCTGCAAGTCACGTGACTTAACAGCGCAAAGGCTATCGTGATCATCCAAGGGTTTGTCGTTTTTCTAAAGGAAAAAAAAAAATGAAAAAATTAGTGAAAGCAATAAATGTCCCAGCCAAGACGACCCCAGGAAGAGAAAAATCATTACGTTTTACGGAAAACGTGCAAACGGCGAAGATGGCGTACGGCCTCGGTGGATAACATTCTTCTTGTTCCATAATTCTTCTCATCATACTCAGCCTCATTCAATAATTGTTCATTATTATTCAGTATAGATATTGTGCCGTTTCTGATTGGTGCTTACCATATTTGGAAGATGCGAGCAATATACTGTCGATTCGATGGTATATTTGCCTGGAAACGAGGCTGCTTGGATAAATAGTGAACAAAAAAAAAATGGCGTTCACGGCTATCCGAAGACAAAATAGCTGAATTTCTGAATAAACCTAAACGGAAGAAATGCAAGAATACGCAAAACATATTGCTCAATAGATGTTATCTACTTTTTTGTGGAGTATCTGCAAGAAAAAAAAAAATCTTTATATACTGAAACCTTACCAAGAAATAGGTCAAGTTTTTGAAGAATGTCTACGAGGAGGCAAGCTTGTTAAGAAATTACAAATGTTTTGAATGTATAATAAAGAATTATAACTGAATTCGGCCTCCGTATGATGTGAAGATTCATGCTGATCTCGGATTATGGATAACATTAGTTTTATCCTCAATATACATCATTCTTCATAACATACTCTGCCTCGTTCAATAATTCGATCGACTACATGTATTGGAAATACTTAGAGAATCAGGCAACACTAGTTAAACAAGAAACATATTTCTTTTCTTGGGGTTATTGATGATAAGTCCTTGGCCCTTATTTACCTCTAACTGACTGGAAATAACCGCCAACGTGAAAGTATTTTAAGAGAAAATACGTGGATGCCTACGCTTTTTCGTCGACGACACGTTCAACTCGAGGGCGGTGTAGCAAGTATTTCTTACTTCCGAGTGGTCAATCGAAACGCACACTGTTAAAATTTAATTTTTCGAATTGAGACTCCTGGTGAAATGCAATTTTAACATTTGAATGGACGTAAGAAACAATGCGGAAACGACGGAAGAAGGAGATGAAATGAACGAAGGATAAATGAGGTCGATTGTGTGTTCAATAATAGAGCGGAAACCGGATTAATAAGATTTGTAAAGAATTACAATTAAATTTTGATTACATTTAAATCGAGCTAAAATATGAGTAGGGAGGCGTCGGTGTGTGGGATCTGAATTAGTTCCCTAACATTATTTTCATGCATGTGAACGTGATGGATGTTGCTACAAAGAAAGTCGCACGCGGGCACTTAAGAATGTGCTGGTTATATTTAGAGTATTAATAGCGTCCCCAAAGTAATATGAATCGATCAAACTTGGGGGCGTCCAAGGACAAAGCTTTTTATCAGATACGTTGTGTTCAATGCAACTAGATCACTCTTAAAATTGACGCCGGAAAACAGTATTCTTTTCAATTACTCTATTTCGGCATTTGGCGAGTTCTCAGGGCTAGCCACACAAAACATGAAACAAACTGTTGAAAGTTAAATTAAAATGGAATAAAATGAACGCGACATGCAGGTGTAAGTTACTGGTTGAACGACTAACCCATNTGCATGTGAACGTGATGGATGTTGCTACAAAGAAAGTCGCACGCGGGCACTTAAGAATGTGCTGGTTATATTTAGAGTATTAATAGCGTCCCCAAAGTAATATGAATCGATCAAACTTGGGGGCGTCCAAGAACAAAGCTTTTTATCAGATACGTTGTGTTCAATGCAACTAGATCACTCTTAAAATTGACGCCGGAAAACAGTATTCTTTTCAATTACTCTATTTCGGCATTTGGCGAGTTCTCAGGGCTAGCCACACAAAACATGAAACAAACTGTTGAAAGTTAAATTAAAATGGAATAAAATGAACGCGACATGCAGGTGTAAGTTACTGGTTGAACGACTAACCCATCACATTAAATCTTGTAGTACACGGAGTCTCTTTAAGGCAACACTTTCTCTTTTGCATGTTAACTACGTCGCAAACGTTCATAACAAAATTTTATTTATTGAACTTTACAGGATAGCTTGGCAGGAGATTAATTATGATAGTGCTAGAATCCAACCTGTTGTTAGCCTGATGGGATTTGCGAAACAACTCAATCAATTTTCAATGGGTTCAAGTTAATTAAGTTTTTGCAAACTTTATTTCGAAAGGATTTGTTTTTCCGGACGTATTGATGATCAAAGCAAACCGGGAAGCAACCCATAGTTATAAAACACAGGATAAAGAAGTTCATTTACAGTGGGCTCTCTAGCTTTGTAATTACACCTGTCACATAAGAAAGTTTAAGTTTCGGACGTCTTTGTTTCAAAATTCAACGACTGAAGAAGAACATCGACGAGTTTAAAGTCTTCGTGAAAAACATGTCTAGAATTGAAAACAGCAGAAATCGCAGGTAAGTCATTTAGAAGTAGATTTATGGCAAACATTTCACTGTTTTTTTAGGGAATAAAATTTTGTACAGTTTTCATTCCGACGACAACAACAAATTGTGCATGTCCATAATTGTGTAAAAAAGATTAAAAACCGACAGAATTATTTAAAAAGTGGGGCGAAACGTAACCGATTTATTTATTGCCATAATTACTGACTTTTTTGGTTTAAAAGGAGTCTCTTCTAGTTGAAAGTTATCGAGCAGTTGCAAAGATATTTCCAACACGAAATTTTCGCTATCATTTTGAGTAGAAGCGTTTTCTTTCAAACTAGCCGATTGTGGCTTGTTTGTAACTAACCAATGGAGGCAAACGTAAGAGAGGAGCGACTAAAACTGTATGATCAATAGCGTGAGAGTTTGCTTGAGACAGGAGTTATTTTGAGTCTAGACGGAATTTATAATAAACCATATTAGAGACACAGTATCGGATAACATCGTAAAAATTGATATTTGCGTTCGCTTTGATACTTTTCAACTATTATGGTGTTTCATTTTGATGAAGCTCGGTAACAAAATTCTGTTAGTGTCACTCAAATAATTTTTTTTTGCCGAAATTAGGGATGATACTCGTAGTGATAGATCGCTTGAAAGTTTATTGCCCGTTTACACTAATTGTTGCAACCCCAGACCGTCCAAATACATTGTGTGTGTGTGTCATTTTGTCTGGCTAACAGTATTTTACCGGTGCCTTCTTTACCTTTCTTGGTTTTATTTCAAGTCTTTTATAAAGGCGTTTACTTTGCTTAAGGTTTTCTATATTTGTTGTTTTTGCCATAAGGTCTTTTCCATTCCACAGAAAATCCTAACTGAGTATTTATATTTCTATTTTTAAAGTATTTTACTTTGTAGAGGCCTATTTGATAGTTAAGAAGCCAGGGAAGATTAATTCCTTGTAACTTTTGCCTTTAGAGCGGTTTTCATTTGAGTGTCGAAAAGTAATTGGTTTTGCACTTTCTACACGATGCGATTGGCTTAAAAGATTCGCGCCACCTTTTCATCCAATCAGAAGTAAAACCAAAGCCAATTGTGACGCGCTCGCATGCATTTTCCCGCGCTTTGCGTCAGCCACATGTAATTACTTCGAGTTTTGATTGGTTCAATGTATTGTCTGTGTCCT